CCCCGCACCAGGAATCGAACTCAGGACCTTGCGCCTGCCAGCGCTGTGCCGCTGAGCTAAATTCCCAGCCCCTTCACAGGGTGATTTACAAATGAATGGACCAGCTATGGGCACCTACCTCTTTGGTTTTTTGTGGGGAGCAGTTGCCTGGACTTCAGCACTGTGGGCCACCAGCTGCTCACCCCAGTGCTTGGGTGTCCTCTCTGGAACCTCGGTTTCCTCGCCTGTCGGGGACTGATAATGGCAGGGTTGTTTGGAGGCTTAGGCTGGATAATCCCGTAAACCCTCATTAGCCCACCAGGCCCGGATCCTTTTTTTTCTTTTTTTCTGATTGTTACAAAACTCTCTGGAATGTCCCTGGGTGGGATGGGAGGTGGGGATGCAGGAGGCCAGACCCTGGCCCTCAGCTGCAGGGTCCCTTGGGGCATTGCTTTCTCCTGTGCTGTTTCAGTCACATACCTCACAACACCTCCCACACCCAGGCCAACGGAGCTGCATGTGCAGAACCAGAACACTTTGTTCCCTGACCCTGGCCCTTGTCTGGCTCCAAACCCGGAGTCCTTTGGGGTAGTTGGCTTCAGAAACCAGTCTGAATTTGATGCTTGTTCTGTTGGGTGCCCTGAGGGCACCTCAGCTGCAGTGACCCAGAACTGCCAGCAGCGTCACCCAGGCAGGCACACAGCCCTCCTAGCAGGCTGTCTTGGCCACATCAGTGTCAGACCAGAGACCGCAGAAGTGTCCCTTACCCCTCTCCCTCACCTGTCACACACGCCAGCCACCTCACTGCGTGAAGTGGCCTCTCTGGCCCTTCAGGCCTGCAGGGTGAGATTTCTACCTTGTGCCACAGTGCAGGAAACCGAGGCACAAAGTCAGGGCGGTCCTGACCCAGCACAGCTCCTGCAGGACCCAGGGTCCCATGGGCCGCAGCAGTGGGCTTTCCTTACTGGGTTTGGCACCATGTGGGGGCCCCGTGGGAGAAGGTGCTGTGGGGCTCACGGGCACAGCAGGACCAGTGTTTGCGGGTGCAGATAGCCTCCCTTGTGGATGGAGAAAGAGCCCCCTGGGGGACGGGTCCATATGTGCCTGAGACTGGGGGAGCGTGTGGGGCCTCCCCAGGCCCTCTCAGTGCCCGCCAAGCTCACCCCATGCTGTCTTGCCCTTGGTGTCCAGATGCTTGACTTTCCTGGTCCAGTTCCTGTAGGGTTTTCCCTAGGGCCTTGGTCGCAGGCAGTGGACACGGCTGCCCAAGGCTGCCCAAAGTCCAGGTGCCCCCATCCTCTTGACACCTGGCAGAGAGAGAGGTGGCCAGGTCAAGGGTCGGCCGTCCGCTGAACAAGGGCCCTTTCCCCTCCCCGCCCCACACCAACAGGTATCTGCTTGGCAGAGCTGGCCTGGGGGCTGCCCTCTGTTCCCCCACAGTCCCTTGCTGGACCAGATTGAAGCAAATACTTGTGCAGATGGCTTGACCTGTTGTCCTTGCCCGACCAAACCAGAACCAGCCGGCTGTTGCCTTTGGGCCAGGGCCTGGGGTTGAGGCCACTGCGACCAGCTTGTTCCTGCCTTCTGGGGGGCCTCAGGCAGCTCCCAGTACTGGGTGGTCCCCACAGGACAGGGCCGCCAGGCCTGGAGAGCTGGAGGTCAGGCCGGGAGCCCTCCAACTGTGGCCACCCAGGGGCTGGCCCTGAGCTAGGAGTCCCTGTGGGACACGGGCTCCCATGGATACTTGTGGGGGACGAGTGGGTCCCTGTGGCTGGCAGGCCCCTGGGCATGTGGGGCTGGCTCCTGTGGGATGGCAGCATTAGGCTTGGCCTGTGAGCCAGGGACTGGTGTGGCCAGAGTGGGCAGCTGGAGCCTGAATCTAGGCCACGCGTCGGTAGAATGACAAGTGATGGTGCAGCCAGTCTGTGGTGCCTGGGCCAGGTCTGTGCAGGGCCACGCAGCCCTGTCCTGGGCCTCAGCCCCGCTGCCCCATGCCCAGCATTATCTGGCCCTGGCAGGGCGGCTCGGATGGTGGTCATCCTTGTGGGTGGTGTCCCTGGGTCTCAGACCTTGGGCCTCTCGGGAGCTGGGGAGCGCCAGGGAGGAGAGAGCCCCAGACCCTCCTGTAGGAATGCGCTTGCACCCCAACTCTGCTCACCATCTCTTGGCTCAGCTCTGCCCCGCTCGCCTGGTGCCTGCAGTGTCCTCAGCCTGGGTCATCATCAAGGATGGGTGGGCAGGAGTCCACCACCAGCCACCTGGGGTCCCCCTGTGGGCCCTTGCCCCTGGGCTGAGACCCGGCGGTCAGACTGGGGTCCCAATGGCTGTTGGTGCAGATGTACCCGCCAGAGCCCCTGGTCCACTCCGGTTGCCCCTGCCTGCCAGGAGCCAGAGCCTGCTCTCCTTGCCCCTGCTGCCAGGCGTGTCCCGTTCCCTGGCTTCGCCCTGCACTGCTCTTGCTGCCACTTTGAGAGTTGGGGTACTGGAGGGGCTCTCTTCTGAAGAAGCTCCCTCCCTTTCTCCGGGAGCCTTAATTCAGCCAGAGGTCAGCAAGTGGAGCCTGTCGGGCATGCGCCTGTGCTGCCCATGAGCTAAGAATGGCGTTCACATTTCCAGATGGTAACAGATAGGATAAGACTTTGTGAGGCTTTTCTGTGTGTGTGCTGGGGATGCCCCCCCGGCTGAGCTGCACCCCGACTCCCTGTCTGTGAGTGGTTATATAGGCGTGTAGGTCTTTGAGACGAGATTGAGTTCTTGGGGCAGACTGGTCGGTAGAGCTGACGAAGTTGGATGCCGTTTATGCACCCCTCCTGGGGTATGGGAGCTGGTAGGACCCAGGCTGCTGACCCTTTCTCATTCAGGAACTGCTGCAGCCTCCACCTGTGGGTCTGCAAAGTGGGGTACCACATCCCAGCTCCCCTGCTCTGGGTGTGGTCTCACTGTTGCCCCTTTCTTCTGCAGAGGCCCTGGGGCCGGAGCCCAGCCAGCAGGCACAGGTGGTCTTTGGCAGTGGGGACACCGTGGAGCTGAGCTGCCACCCACCTGGAGGTGGCCCCGTGGGCCCCACAGTCTGGGTCAAGGATGGTGAGGGGCTTGCGTCCTCGGACCGCATCCTGGTGGGGCCCCAGTGGCTGCAGGTGCTGAACGCCTCCCACGAGGACGCTGGGGCCTACAGCTGCCGGCAGCAGCTCACGCAGCGTGTGCTGTGCCGCTTTGGTGTACGTGTGACAGGTGTGTGCCTGCTGAGCTGCGCCAGGCTCGGGGCCCTGGCATGGTCTGGGGCAGCGGGGTCTGAGGGAGGGGCTGTGAGGGGCGCCTGAGGTCCTCCTGGGCAGGCCCTGGCAGCTGAGGAGCAGGGGGCACCTGGATGTGGCCCATCACAGGCCCAGTGCCCACACTACCCTTCCTCTTGGCAGATACCCCCTCCTCAGGAGACGATGAAGACGGGGAGGATGTGGCTGAAGACACAGGTGAGACCAGATGCTAGGCTGGGGCTGGCTGGGGAGGGGCCACTTCCTCCCTGCCCAGTTCTGCCTTCTGCTGGCAGGTAGGACATGATGCCTGGGGGAGACCTCAGGGCACAGGGAGGAAAGGGCAGGTGAGGTGGGCCGGGGCCATCATGACCATGCTGGGCACCACTCTGGGTGCTGGCCCTGGGCGCCAGGTGGCACCCTGGGGATGGGAGGGGGCAGCCGTGCTGCAGATGGGAAAAGCAGGGCACAAGGCTTGCGGAGACAGCGGCCAGGCCCAGTGTGGGGCTCTCCCTGGTGTGAGCACAGCAGGGTACAGCTCTCAGATGGCTGCTGCGGGCAGGGCTGGGCACACACCGTAAAAGGGGCTCCGACAGGGTTTTCCCTGGTGGCAGGCAGGGTGACAGTGCCCAGATGAGGCCGGAATAGTAGCAGGAGGACTCTGTCGCCCACTGTGCAGGGGCCGGGGCTTTCTAGTATTGGAGCTAAGTCTGAGGAGCTGCGAGATGCATGTGTGCAGAGCAGGGTAATGGCCAGGTGGCCATGGAGTTCAGCCCTGTGTGGCCTGGGCCGAGGACGCCGAGCCCCACAGGCCCTCCCGTCACCGGGCGTCTCCTTGCCCACCCCAAGAGGCTCCGCCCCGGCTCTGTCCTCACTGCCCCTGCCATGCCTCAGTGCTCTCTGTGAGACGGTGTGTCCCCAGGTGAATGGCAGTGAGGGTTGCCCTGGAGAGCCAGGCAGGGAAGGCAGCCCCCAGCCCAGCCCAGGGGAAGGACAGAACCCAGCAGGGGAGAGGGTGGCCCAGGGGGCAGCCCTGGGAACAGCCCTGGGAAGCAGGAGCAGGAGAGCCGCCTTGGGGTCCTGCAGACTCGTGGGTGATGCAGGTCCTGGGAAACCCCAAAGCCTGTCCCGAGGCTGCAGTAGGAGCAGCGCCTGGGGCAGACCGCAGACTTTTGGCTGCGTGAGTCTCCCCCCACTGAGAGTAGGGGTCCTGCTCCCCTGGGTCCTAGTCCTCACTGTACCACTGCCAGCAGGGGCCCCGTACTGGACTCGGCCTGAGCGGATGGACAAGAAGCTGCTGGCTGTGCCAGCTGCCAACACAGTGCGCTTCCGCTGCCCAGCCGCTGGCAACCCCACGCCCTCCATCTCCTGGCTGAAGAATGGCAAAGAGTTCCGGGGGGAGCATCGCATCGGGGGCATCAAGGTGGGTATGGGGGCCTCGGGGAGCTTGGCCTTGGCCCTGCGGTGGAGCCTGGTGGATGGGGCCTGCAGCCTCACCACCCCCCACCTTTCGGCAGCTTCGGCACCAGCAGTGGAGCCTGGTCATGGAGAGCGTGGTGCCCTCGGACCGAGGCAACTACACCTGCGTGGTGGAGAACAAGTTTGGCAGCATCCAACAGACATACACGCTGGACGTGCTGGGTGAGCGCCGGCCAGGCGAGGGTGGGACCTGCTGCCCAGCGCCCCGCTGACCACCCGACCTGTCCTGTACCCGCAGAGCGCTCGCCACACCGCCCCATCCTGCAGGCAGGGCTGCCGGCCAACCAGACGGCTGTGCTGGGGAGCGATGTGGAGTTCCACTGCAAGGTGTACAGCGACGCACAGCCGCACATCCAGTGGCTGAAGCACGTGGAGGTGAACGGCAGCAAGGTGGGCCCTGACGGCACACCCTACGTCACTGTGCTCAAGGTGGGCACCAGGGCCGGCATGGGCGGGGCTCCGCCCTGGGACACTGGGGTGGGTGGGGTGTTGTTGCTCTTTGGGAGGGGCTCAGATGGGCCCTCCAGGTGCTGAGCCTGGGACCGGCTCCCTCGCCCGTGCTCCGCGGTGAAGCCTCTTCTTGGACCCTGGCTCAGAGCCGGGCCCATGGGCCGCTCTGGGTGGGCCCTGCCTGTGCCAATGAAGGGGTCCAGGGCTGGGGTCATGCTTGCCCTCCCAGAGTCCCGTGTACCTCCGTGCTGGGCCGCAGCTCCAGGGCTGGCCGAGTGGCCATGTCCGCAGTGCGGGCAGCATGGGGCTGGAGCACCACCCTGCCAGCTGCCTGGCCCTTAGCTTTGTTCCCATGGCCGCAGGGGTGGGAGCCACCCGAGTTGGGATGGTTGCGACACTGGAAGCCCAAAGAGAAACATCTGTTCCAAGACAAGGCGGTCTAGTGGGGGTGGGGAGCAGGCGCCCTGGGCCACAGCAGAGTCCGGAGCTGGCTGGGGGAGGCCGAGGGGCCTGTGGCGGGGCCTCTGTGGGTGCTAAAGACCCCAGGTGGCAGGCAGGGCGAAGCCAGGGCAAAGCCAGGGTGTGGGCTCTGGGTTGGGGGTGGGACCCAGGGTGCATCCCGGGAGCCGCCACAGCTCACCGCCGTGAGGTGCCTCTGCCACTGCCTCTGGGGAGACTTCCAGCCCCTCCGTGGGGTCCTCCTCTCCCCACCGCCTCCTGCCTTGCGCCCAGCCCAGGCTGCCTCAGGGCACGCCTGAGCCGGGTCTCTTGTCCCCGCAGTCCTGGATCAGTGAGAATGTGGAGGCAGACGCACGCCTCCGCCTGGCCAATGTGTCGGAGCGGGACGGGGGCGAGTACCTCTGTCGAGCCACCAATTTCATAGGCGTGGCCGAGAAGGCCTTTTGGCTGCGTGTTCACGGGCCCCGAGCAGGTAACGACTCTGTCCCACGCCTGCCTGGCACGCCGAGCTCCAGCTCCGACACCCCGGCCATGTGCCTGCCTGCACGCCCCTGCACGCCCCTGTCCTGCTTGTGCCCGCCCCGTGGCTTCTTCTGCTTGTGGCCCCTCTGCCACCACATGGATGGCACCAATTGCTGCTGTGACCGCCTGCTTTGAACCCTCGGGCCTGCGCTGGCCCTGTCTGCCCTGCCATGTGCTCCCCGGAAGGTCCCTAAACCTGTTCGGACCGCATCCTATAGTCTGAGCGCCTGCCTGCCGCCTCTCTCTGGCTGCTGGACCTGGCACTTCCTCACTGCCATCCAACGTTCATCAGTCCAACTGTCTGTCTGTCCCGTCTGCACCCTCCTCTCCTTGCACTAACCCTGCATGCTGCCCCCAGCAGCCCTGTGCTCCTGTCCGCCTGCCTGACGCTCACCTGGGACAGAGGACTCGCCGGTGGAGGGACTGGCTTCGGGCTCGGTGCCCATGCTCAAGGCAGAGGCCTGGGCCGTCGTGGCCGTGGCAGGACCGTGGCGGTGGCCGAGGCGGTGGTGGCGGCGTTTTCTTTGCAGCCTGGCTGGATCGTGGCCGCGTGGCCTGGGCCGTGGTGCCCGTGGGGAGGTTCTGGCGCTCGCCTATCGCGCTCTGTTCTCTCTTTGTAGACGGCGGGCGCTAACACCACCGACAAGGAGTTAGAGGTTCTGTCCTTGCGCAATGTCACCTTTGAGGACGCGGGGGAGTACACCTGTCTGGCGGGCAATTCTATCGGGTTTTCTCATCACTCTGCGTGGCTGGTGGTGCTGCCAGGTACTGGCTCTGCTGCTGCTTACTCTGCACCTGTCTTCTGGAGTGCTGGCTCGGGACACGCCACAGCTGCCAAGGATGGGCTGGCAAGGGCTGGGGTGCGCCTGGCCTTACGCCTGGCATGGGAACTCGACCTGGCCCCGTGTTGGCCCGATAGCTGGGGTGCGGGGCCCTGCACACTGTGGCTTTAGCGTCTCCCGGGTGCCTGGGTGGCGGTTTGAGTGCTGCTGGCTCTGCTGGGCTCTTTCTTTCCTGGGTCTGCCCCTCCTGACTTACATGTCTTGACTGTAGCACCAGGTGATAGAGCGCAGAGGCCTGGGGTGCTCCTAGCTCTGAGCCCCAGGCTGGTACCCCCTGCCTGACCTTGCCAGTGCCTGTGGCTCTGGCCCCTGGCGGCCCCTGGGAGGCTGGGCTAGGCCCCAATACCCATGTCTTTGCAGCAGAGGAGGAGCTGGCGGAGGCAGACACAGCTGGCGGTGTATACGCGGGCATCCTCAGCTACGGGCTGGGCTTCTTCCTGTTCATCCTGGTGGTGGCAGCTGTGACCCTCTGCCGCCTACGCAGCCCCCCTAAGAAGGGCCTGGGCTCCCCCACCGTGCACAAAGTCTCCCGCTTCCCGCTCAAGCGACAGGTAACAGAAAGTAGATACCAGGTTTCCAGCCTCCGCCCGCCCACCCGGCCTCCCGGACCCTTGGGCCCACACACGTCCTGGTCCTCGTCCGAGGCCAGGGCTGTTTCCACGGTCAGGTGGGCTCGTGCTCCAGTCCTCACTGGTCTCAGTATGGAGCCCAGGTTTCCCGCTTTTAAAATTCCTCCCTCACTGCTCCAAGGGAGCTCAGCAGCCCCACGAGCCCAGCCCACTGTCCTGCATGGCCACGGCCTCACCACACCCATGGCTGCGCCACCCACCCCTCCCAGCCCTGGCCCCTGCCGTGAGGCGCCAACCTGCCCCTGCCGACCCAAGCAGGTGTCCTTGGAGTCCAACTCGTCCATGAACTCCAACACACCGCTGGTCCGCATCGCCCGGCTGTCCTCAGGAGAGGGCCCCACGCTGGCCAATGTGTCTGAGCTTGAGCTGCCTGCTGACCCCAAGTGGGAGCTGTCGAGGTCCCGGTCAGTGGGGGCGAGGGTGTGGCTCTGTTGGCTGCTGGGACGGCGCAGGCCATGGCCTGCCTGGGCTCAGATGGGGGTGGCAGTGGTGGGTGTGGGGAGCCCCATATGGAGGAAGGCTGGGCCGGGCCGGGCCAGGGCACCAGCACTTACTGCCTTGGCCTTCCCGGCAGGCTGACCCTGGGCAAGCCTCTTGGGGAGGGCTGCTTCGGCCAGGTGGTCATGGCAGAGGCCATCGGCATCGACAAAGACCGGGCCGCCAGGCCTGTCACCGTGGCTGTGAAGATGCTGAAGGGTGAGTAGGCGGGAGTGCGGGCCTGCAGGGCTGTGGGTGCCACTGCCTGATGCCTCCTGTCCTCCGGCACAGACGATGCCACCGACAAGGACCTTTCGGACCTGGTGTCGGAGATGGAGATGATGAAGATGATCGGCAGGCACAAGAACATCATCAACTTGCTGGGGGCCTGCACGCAGGGCGGTGGGTGTGGGGAGGCGGGCGGGCGGCAGGGAGAGGTGGCTGGGCGGTGTGGCTGGGGCGGGGCCTGAGGACCTGTGCCCACGCCTGCAGGGCCCCTCTATGTGCTGGTGGAGTACGCCGCCAAGGGCAACTTGCGGGAGTACTTGCGGGCACGGCGGCCCCCAGGCCTGGACTACACCTTCGACACCTGCAAGCTGCCCGAGGAGCAGCTCACCTTCAAAGACCTGGTGTCCTGTGCCTACCAGGTGGCCCGGGGCATGGAGTACTTGGCCTCCCAGAAGGTGAGCAAGTGGGGCTGAGGTGTGGTCTGAGCCTGGGCTGGGGCTGGGGCCGGGCCGGGCGGGCACCGCGCTGGAGCGGGGTGGAGGGGCTCCAGGGGTCCCTCAACCCTGTCATGCACCCCATCCGTCCCCAGTGCATCCACAGGGACCTGGCTGCCCGAAACGTGCTGGTGACTGAGGACAACGTGATGAAGATTGCAGACTTCGGCCTGGCCCGGGACGTGCACAACCTCGACTACTACAAGAAGACCACCAACGTGAGTCCTGCCCTTCGTCCCTGGGTGGGGTGACGGAGGCAGGAGACGCCTGGCAGCTGACACCTGCTTTTTTTTCTAGGGCCGGCTGCCCGTGAAGTGGATGGCACCTGAGGCCCTGTTTGACCGAGTCTACACCCACCAGAGTGATGTGTAAGGGATGTGGGGGGTGGCGGGAGGGGTGAGCTGTGCCCGCGCCCCACCTGGCCCATAGGGACACAGCCTCGGGTGGGGGCTGTGCAGGGAAGGGGCCGAAGGTGCGCAGGGCGCTGACCTGGCCCCACGCCTGCAGCTGGTCCTTTGGGGTCCTACTCTGGGAGATCTTCACGCTGGGGGGCTCCCCGTATCCTGGCATCCCGGTGGAGGAGCTTTTCAAGCTACTGAAGGAGGGCCACCGCATGGACAAGCCGGCCAACTGCACGCAGGACTTGTGAGTGCAGCGTCACCTGCAGCAGCCCAGGCTCCAGGATGGGTGGGGTGGGCGCCGGGCCAACGCTTCTGCCCTGGCTGCAGGTACATGATCATGCGTGAGTGCTGGCATGCTGTACCCTCGCAGAGGCCCACCTTCAAGCAGCTGGTGGAGGACCTGGACCGCATCCTCACTGTGACGTCCACCGATGTGAGTGCTCAGCCCCCCACATACCCAGCGGGAGAGTCTCTCACAGTGGGTGCGTGCTGACCAGGCCCCTGCCCTCTGCCCGCAGGAGTACCTGGACCTGTCGGTGCCCTTTGAGCAGTACTCACCTGGTGGCCAGGACACACCTAGCTCCAGCTCCTCTGGGGATGACTCTGTGTTCACACACGACCTGCTGTCCCCCGCTCCGCCTGGCAGTGGGGGCCCTAGGACGTGAAAGGCAACGGCCCTGCAGGCTGAACCCCTGTCAATGTGAGAGTGAACCAGGGCCCACCCTGCTGCCACTGGGGTGCAGCGGCCTAGGCCTGAGCCCCGTGGGGATGGGCATGCGGACAGATGCTGCGCATCTGCGTGTGTCAGAGGGAGGTCTCCCAGCCTGCATGCGCAGTCCCTGGGACACCTGCGCTGCTGTACGATGCCCTCCTGAGTGGCCGGCGCCAGGAGGCCGAGAGGCCTTATTTTGGGGGCATCAGATGTAGAATGTAAGGGGGCCACCCCCAGGAAGCATCTCAGAGTGGGCTGCAACCCCCCGTCCCCAAGCTGAGCCTGCAGGGCAGCCCCTTGTGGTGAGCCCCGCACCTGCGTGGCACCTTGCACCTGGGGGCGAGCAGCAGCTCTCCTACCTCCAGGTCTCCCCACTGCCCACCCTCCCCTCAGACAAATTACGGGTACCTGAAGGTGGGAGCCTTTACCTTCTATCTGAAAGGTTTATTCCAGAAACGAGTGTACATTTCTATAAATAGATGCTGTGTATATGGTATATATACATATATATAAGAATCTCTATGTGGGGAAGACGGCAGTGGGCTGGGTGGGGAGACCCCGTAGGGGCAGGCGGAGGAGCAGAGGGGCTTTTCTGGCGCTGCAGTTTTGTTTTTAAAATTGTACCTGGACCTGTATATTTGTAAAGCTATTTATCGACCCCCAAAACCCTGGTCTCCCCACGTGGATAGTGTTTAGCCGGCCGCATGGCAGAGATTTAAGTTTTAACTTATTAACAGCTGAGGTTTATGCTGCATTTGGAGGGGTTATGAGAATGTACATCCAGCTGTGAGGCTGCCTCATGGGCTGTGTGCTGGAGGTGAGTCCAGCGAGCGTTTTATTTCCTTTGGCCTGTTGCAGGGGAGTTAGATTTCTAGAAGACCTTTCCTTAGATTTATTTTTTTGGACTTCAGAGCAAGCTGGTATTTTCATACAGATTCTTCTAATTGCTGCATATTCCAGGGAGGGCCGGCCCTACGAGCAGGTTCAGATGTTATTAGATGTTACAAGTTTATATCTATCTATATATATATAATTTATTGAGTTTTTACAAGATGTATTTGCTGTAGACTTAACACTTCTTACGCAACGCTTTTAGACTTTTATAGCCCAGACTGCTACCTTTCACAGCTTGGGAGAGAAAGCCGTGAATTCGGTTTTGTTCCCTTTTGTACTGTTCTTGGGCCCAAGTTGGGTGGCTAACCCTCGCCTGTCCATCAACTGCTGGCCAGCCAGCAAGGCCAGGGCAACCACTGGATCTTGGGGCCCAGCCGTGGTGGCCAGAGGTGTCGGCCCACACCAGCCGATGTGACTTCGTTAACCCAGGTGTCCTTTCCAAGAATAAAGAGACGACTGGTTCCAAGCTGCCCCGTGCCTGTTGCCTGTGTCCTGGATCGGCGGGTCCATGTCCTGTCCTGTGTCATGGACAGGTTATTGGTGCCCTGGGAGGGGGCTCCCTGCCAGCAGCGGGGCAGGAGCAGCTGCTCTGATCCCCAGGTGGGGGCACACATGTCCTGGGGACCCCCTCCCCCAGCAGCCCGTTTCCTGTCTCTGGCTCCCCTGCCTGGAGAGCAGGTCTAGGAGCTTCTCGGGGAGCAGGTGGCCAAGCTGGCCAGGGGCACCTGGAGCTGAATGAATCCTGTGCTGGCCCTGCCTTCCAGGAGAGGGCAGGTGCTGATGCCATCCCATTCCCGGGGCCATTCAGGTTGTTAAGGTCTGGGGGCTTGGCCACCATACCCCGTCAGCAACTGCGTAAGGGACGCTACCTCCAGCCCCCCAGCCAGAGACCTGGTAGTGGGGCCCCAGGTAGGGAGGCCAGGGTTGGTGGGAGTAGGGACTGGGTTCAACACGCTGCTCCATGCAGGGGTCCCTGGAAACCTCCCCTCCTGGGTGGGGTGACAGGAAGGTCTTTGACCCAACCACCAGGGCCCTCAGGAGGCAGGCACAGGCCGCGTGGACACCTGGTGATGGTGACCTGGCCGGGAGGCTAGTGGAAGCAGATGGGCAGGGCTGGCCAGGCAAGTGGAGCACAGGCGCCCCCTGGTGCTGTGCAGCCAAGCTGCGCCCCGAAGCCCTCGGCTGGGCCTGGCTGCTGGGGCTGTGGTGGCTCCTGGAGCAGGTACCCACCCTCCTCGGGGTGACAGCACCAGAGCTTGTCCTTGGGGCTCCAATTTCAGTCAGAAACCCCGGGGGGCCTGTGGCCTGTGCCTGCTAAGAAAGCTTCCTGTGGTCACCAGTGGCTGGCACGAGACTGACACTTTCAGGAGCCCTGCAGATTGCCCCCAGTAAGCTACCAGAGCTGCCGTGTCTCTGGCCCGTTACCCATCAATAGGGCAGTGGGCACTGGGGCAAACGGTGCCCTTCATGCTGGCTGGTGCTGTTGGTCTCAGCTGGGACCCTGGAGAGGCCCAGAGTACCTGGCGAGATGCGCATGTGCTCAGGGAGCCGCTCAGGATGTGTGCTGCGTGTGCCTGTTGTGCTCCAGCTTGGGGCCTGAGCCAGGACCCTGAGCAGCCTGGGTACCCAAGGCTCGGGCCAGGGCAGCCTGTCCCTTGATGGGCCTGGGTCAGCAGAGGTCCCGTGTCTGCCCTCCTGCTGAGATGCCCCCGTCAACCAGAGCTCTCCTCTGCTTCACTCACTCTCCAGGTGCCTGGCCTGTCACGTGTAGGCTGCAGGCAGACTACAGTGTCCCAAGGGTCCTGAGTCAGGACTCGGCTCCAGTGCTGGTGCCTACTGCTTGGGAACCACGCCAGGCGCAATCTGGGGGCAGTATCCAGGCTCCTACGGACCCCAGGGGCCTGATGCATCCACTGTGGGTCCTCAGGGTGGGGAGTGACCTGGCAGCGTGGCCACAAACCCAGACAAACCACTGCAGGGCAGACAAGTCATCAAGTGGCACTTTATTACACTGCCTCTTTACATCAGCTGTCTAGCACGCACTCGGCCTGTCAGTGCAGGGCTCAGGCCAACCTGGTGTCAAAGGACAGGGCAGGAGGCTGGAGCCAAGGCCGGAGCCCTGGGAGAGGCAGGGCCCATCCTGCAGCCCACAGTACTGTCACAAGAGCAGGGACTTCGATAATGCTGAGTAATCTCCAAATCAGATGGCATAGAAATACTATCTTGAGATGCTGCAGGAACACAGACTTGATATTCTCTTAAAAACTTTTTACATAGGGTGTTACACACAGCCAGGCCAGGAGATGGAAAACTGCTCCCTTGCCGGTCCCCAGGACCCTGGTGACAGCCAGCCCCAGGAGGCCTTTTGAGACAGGGTCTCACTGTGTAGTTCAGACTAGCCTTGAGCTCACTATGTAGCCCAGTGATCTTCCTGCCTCAGCCTCCCGAGTGCTGGGATTACAAGAGGCCACTTTTAGAAATATGCAGTGGCCTTCACGTTCAGAAGTCTCGACTGATATTCCACAAGGATGTCCCAAATCCCTGAGTGAGAGGGGCGTGCATGGGTGGGGTGTGTAACAAGGGAACATGGCTGTGGCACCAGGAGACCCCAGCTCCTAAAGACGCCTGAGCAGGCCAAGGGTGCAGGCAGAGGGCGGACGTGAAACAGGCAGCCGAGCCGCCACCTCTGGAACAGAGGCCCGCACAGCCTCGCTTCCTCTGGCAGGCCCAGGTCCCGTACACCACACCAAGGCAGAGCAACGGCAATAAATTAGGGTCAGTATAGGAAAATGTGGGGAAAACTCGTAACTTCCTACCATGTGCCATCGAGCCCATGACACCTGGAGGGCAGCCTGTCCAGGCAGTGCTGTGGGCCGGCAGGGTCACCAGTGTGCCCATGAAGCCACCAAGGATGAGGACAAGAGCAGGACACAGTGATGGGCACTGTGTGGGACACACTGGGCACTCACAGGCCCGTTCTCAGCAGCAAGCGCGCTTGCACGGCACGGGCTAGGCTGCTAAGGAAGGGCGGGACTCGGCGCGGCCCACCAGATGCCCTCCCCAGAGAGCAGAAATGTGACTCGGCCTCGAGCAGCCCTCATTCCTACTTGGTCAGCTTCAAGCTTCAAGTAAGTCAGAAGATTCTTCCTGCGTGCGTGGCCATGCCTGGCCCCATTCCTATGTCTTCCACAGTCCTGTGAGGCCCCATGGGCCATGTGCCTGCCACCACGCGAAATGCCCTGACTACTGTCCAGGGAGCTGTGGACCCAGAGGTCCTAGGCCAGTTGGGGGCTGGTAGCCTGAGAGCCTGTGGGGAGACTGGCAGCCGGCGGCACACGGGGAGAACCAGCTGTCTCAAGGATTGGGGCACCGCACGGGGTGGCCCCGTCGTGCCCGCTTGTCCTCACAGCCGGGTGGATTCCAGACGGAGAAGCCACACAGGGCCCTGTGGCACTGGAAGGGGTCGAGGGCCCGGGGCGCGACTGGACCTCACCCAGCATGGAGCACCGCACAGCCAGACTCACGCGCCTCAACCCTGATTGTGTCAGATGCTACTGCTCACGAGCTGGGCAGACTGTCATTCTGAAAACGAGTTAATGAATTAGGCGCAGATCAAAAGTGAATCGAGAGTTCCAGTAAACGACAGGATCCACAGGAGACACCGCACGTGGTCAGATGGTCAGGGAGAGGCACAGAGAGGCCACAGACATGTCGGCCTCGACAGTACACGGACACAACTTGGGGAACGTGTGCAGGCAGACACTGCCCTCGACGTGTGGGAAGCAGAGTCCGAGACCAACTGGAGCAGCGATCTTCAGAGTCCAGGGGCCTGTGCTGCCTCCCGGTGCAGCGCCTCTGGCCATCTCTGCCGGGTGCTGGGCTCCACACACCATGCCTTCCTCCCGGGACTCGGGTGCGCAGGGAGGGGCCTTCCTGCCTGGCCGAGCCGAGCGAGCTCCCTCCAGGCCACTCAGCACCACACCACAGCGTGAGTCCAGTCACACTTCCCTGGAGGCTCTTAGGAATCCAACCCAGTCTTTGTGGAATGATGAAAATTAAAATTACTTGATTATGGAAGTTTGTGATTTATTCCAGACCAAATATTAGAACTGCCACAAGAATCACCTCAAAGCAATCACTCTTCACCATTCCCACCGTGATGGTGTGGTGGGACCGCGTGAAGGCCCTAGTTCTTCACCTCCACTACCTCCTTCTCAGCCTTCTCCTTGGCCTTCTCCTTCTCCCCCACCTTCTCCTCCTTCTCCAGCGTGGCCACGATTTCGGCCACCTGGCTGGTGGAGAGGTGCACGTCTTCTTTGTCTACCAGCTCGATCACCTGCAGAGGAAAGGGCTTAGCAGGCTCCAGTCCAAGGCACTGCCTATGGTCCCTTTACAGCCCAGGGAGGTGGGAACACTGCTACCTGACTCAGCCACCCTCAAGGTCTTGGGTCCTGCCGCTGCCCTGGTCCTGGAGTACTAACCCTCCCCAGGGGCCATGGGCAGCACAAGGCTGCTGGCACCAGGTTCCCACTCCAGCTTGCATGGCTGCTGTGGTGCCAGGGGTACCTGTGTGTGGCCTCCCCACGGCACAGCACGAAAGGTGTGGGGGCTGGATGGAGGAGGGGAGGGAGCAGAAGGTATGAGGGACAGGGGCCTGGTGGAGCCCTGCTTTTAAGAACTGAAAGAAATGAGCCAGTATCTGTGGTCATGTCTGAAACACCACTAACTGGTCAGGCCCAAGCAGCCATGGGGGCAGTTTCCTGCCAGGACTGTAAATGGTTCAGGAGGGCCTCTAGTGACCTGCAGGTTGGGTCCAGATGCCCCAGGCAGGCTGCATCCTGTCTAGGCCTTGGGAGCCAACCTGAACCCTGGTGACTATACGTGGAAGCCTGGCCCACCTGTCACCTCAGGCCTCAGGTGAGGAGCCCTGGCAGGTGAGGCTCCACCCCTCGTCCAACTGCCTGCCACAGGATCCCTGAGCAACAAAGGATGCAGGGTGAGCTGGGGTATGGTGGCTACTACCTCCCCTGGGGACTCTGCTCAGGCTGCCAGGCCAGGGGCCCCAGTCAGAAGCAGGTGGCCTGCACCCCAGAGGGCACCGTCCTGGACACGTGTGTGTGTGTGTGTGTGTGAGAGAGAGAGAGAGAGAG